TAAAGCATAGAAGAAAAATTATTCTATATTTATTCTTAAAATAAAGCATAGAAGAAGAATTCTTCTATATATCTTCTTAAAATTGAGTGTACAAGAAGACTTCTTCTATATTTCTTCTTAAAATGAAGCGTAATAGAACATTTCTTCTATATTTAGTCTTGAAATGAAGCATAGAAAATGTCCTCTATATTTCTTCCTAAAATAAAGCATAGAAAAATACTTCTTCCATATTTCTTCCTAAAATTAAGACTTTTTCTAAATAAATATATTTTTCGTATGAGTATATTTTTATTTCTTTTTTAAGATTAGATAGATAGATTACTTTATTCACCCCTGAAGGGAAATTAGAAAGTTTGTGATTGAAATATGTACAGGAAAAGGAAATGTTTATTTTCACGTCACAACACCAAACAAATAGGAGTAACTGGAGGTCAGAGGTCAGCCGGTGCTCGGTTGGCATGGTAACCAGAGTCTGTTTCTGCTTCTCTTCACAGGCGAAAAGCCGTTCGGCTGCGCGGACTGTGACAAATGTTTTGCCCAGAAGTGCCAGCTGGTGGCGCACCGGCGCATGCACCACGGCGAGGAGAAACCCTACACCTGCGACCGCTGCGGATTCAAGTTCGCCACCTCCTCCAACTACAAGATCCACATCAGGTACCCCCACCTGCAGGGATGGTGTTATAAATGTGGAGGTTTTATTATTTTTATATATATTTATATTTTTGGTTTACGCCCCGCCTGCAGGATGTGGAGGCTTTATTATTTTTATATATATTTATATTTTGGTTTACGCTCCACCTGCAGGGATAGTGTTAGAAATGTGGAGGCTTTATTATTTTTATATATATTTATATTTTGGTTTACACCCCACCTGCAGGATAGTGTTATAAATGTGGACGTTTTGTTATTTTTATATATGTTTATATTTTGGTTTAGGCTCCACCTGCAGGATAGTTTTATAAATGTGGAGGCTTTATTATTTTTATAAATGTTTATATTTTGGTTTACGCTCCACGTTCAGAGGTATTTTTCCTGAATGTGGACGTTTTATTATATTTATATATATTTATATTTTGGTTTACGCTCCACCTGCAGGATAGTGTTATAAATGTGGAGGCTTTATTATTTATATATATGTTTATATTTTTGGTTTACGCTCCACCTGCAGGATAGTTCTTATAAATGTGGAGGTTTTATTATTTTTATATTTATTTATATTTTGGTTTACGCCCCACCTGCAGGATGTGGAGGCTTTATTATTTTTATATATATTTATATTTTGGTTTACGCTCCACCTGCAGGATAGTGTTATAAATGTGGAGGCTTTGTTATTTTTATATATTTATATTTTGGTTTACGCTCCACCTGCAGGATAGTGTTGTAAATGTGGAGGCTTTGTTATTTTTATAAATGTTTATATTTTGGTTTACGCTCCACGTTCAGAGATATTTTTCCTGAATGTGGACGTTTTATTATATTTATATATATTTATATTTTTGGTTTACGCTCCACCTGCAGGGATAGTGTTAGAAATGTGGATGTTTTGTTATTTTTATATATGTTTATATTTTGTTTTACGCTCCACGTTTAGGGGTATTTTTCCTGAATGTGGACATTTTATTATATTTATATATATTTATATTTTGGTTTTATCTGTTTTCTCACAGCCATTTTCTTGTTTTTTAAAATATGACTTTTTTTTCTATTGATTTGACTTTTTAAAATGATATACATTTAATTGAATTTAAAAACATGCATTTCTACTTTTTATTTATTTTATTTTATTTTTCTTTCACATTTACTGAATTAAAAAAAAAAACTTCATTTTTTAAAATTAATTAAAAAATATATATTTTTTAATTTTATTTATTTATTTATTTTCATTTATGACCTTATTGGTCATGTG